CAAATGACTGTACGTAGTTGCTCCAGGCTACGGCTGTAAATGTCTTTTGAGAGGAAGTCTTGTGAAAACCGGTGTCCCAGTAAAATAGAAACAACTATACAAGTAGAGATGAGAAAAATAAGGTATAAATAAAATGTAAAAAGTGAGGCAGATATGAGGAAAAGCGAAGGCAGAAGAGGTCGGGAGAAGAAAGAGAGCTTCACTTACCACCCCCACTACCCATCAACTATTCCACATAGACATGTAATCCTGCTTCATAAAAGCTAAATCTTCTGTAATTAAAAGAATAAACATAAAAAAATTCATAAATGGGAAAATGGATCTAAGAGGCATAAAGTAAACACAAAGCAAGAGAAATAATCTCTTGTTTCGCACAATGTAATAATTTGAAAAGTGATACCGTCACCAGACAATCAAGATTCACAGCCAAATTAGTAAGAAGAAGGATCTTCCCACTCTTTTGATTTGGCTTAAATTTGCCAACTCACGTTATGATTCCCCAGTTTGAGAATGGACCCAGGTCTACATAGACAGAGGTCAGACATGATGGAGGCTGATCTAGGCTTATCAAAGCAATTTGCTAAATTAAATCGTGCAGAATAACAACCCAGAAGATGCAATGGCTGTTTTGTTCCTCTTCTATTCACTAACTTTATTTATTCTCTGATCTTCTCCCCCATTATTTCCCTCTACCTTTATCCCTTTATCTCCTCTGAACCAAAGAAAATTAATTCCAAGCTGTGCACTTAGCTACCTGTCCAGAAAACCATGGACAGGTGCCAAATCCCATGGCCATAGCAACTGCCAACCTTAACAAATGCAGCACTACAGAAACACCATAAAATGCTGTGCAAAGTTCTCATCCAGACAAATTCACTCTCAGAGCTAATGATCTACTTCTTACAGGGCTATATTTATCACATGCCACAATTACATCTCTGTACGTATTATACTAATACCTCGTATTATACTAATTGTTCTTCATTAGGCTTAATTTAATGACCCGTATAACTCGACTTCTTTGTTGAAAATCTAAATAAACCTTTAAATAGAAAAAATAAAATACTCAATGTATTTAAATGGGTAGAGGCTCTTTTACAACATTAATATGACTCTATGAGAAGTACAGAGTTTTAAAACGCACCTTCAAAAGTAAATAAATATGGGCATAATGAGCACACGTACCGCACATTTATTCAAGGTAACATTTTTCTAGCAAAAACCACAGCATGCATATGCATACAAGATAACAAAAAAACTATTTTTTCGAGCAACAATTATTATTTACGTGTTTTTTGCACAAAATGTGATTTTTTTTTTTTCCCCCTCAATATGTAAATAAAGCTGAAAGACCAGTGGTTTTTAACCTCTTGGTCACAACCCAACATTGGTTCCATAAGCTATTTCAGCGTGCACCCTCGGCACCCGTCCATAATTCCCCTGTCTTGACCCCTATAGATACTGGGAGGAGTCTGATTAATTTATTTTGTTATACACGGTATTGCAATTTAAAATACGTTACTGAGCTATTTTGTTAATATTGTTTTAATATTTTTTTAGTAAAATCTATCAATATATCAAACAAATATCAAAATATGAAATCATTTGAAAAGCTTATTCAAATATAAGAAAAATCGAGGCCATGATTTCACTATATAAAGGCCTTGATTTAAATTTGTCGGATAAAATTTCGGAAATGATTTAATAAACTTTTGAAATTATTTCATATCATGAAAAATATTTATTGTTTCATATATGATATATTTTTTAGATTTTAATATTTTGAAAAAAATATATTTTAAAAGTGTCTCCAAAGATATTAAAGAATTTGGAAAGCGTATCAAAAAATATTAAAAGGGGCCATAGTTAATAAGCTTTATATACCTATAGATAATCCTAAAACTTAATATAAAACCATACTTACAGATCAAGGCTTGTCATAAAGGTAACTATCCAGTATTTCCATTAATTTAAATAATTATTCTGTGTTCTGTACCTTTGTTCTTACAATAGACGTAATTACATTTTTAATATTTTTTTTTTTTCATTTTTACCCATTGTAATACAGTAATGATATTATTAATCTATGGGGTCATTGATGATGTCAGATTCACAGGCAAAACACATGTCAGGCTGGGATCAATTAGCACAAGTACTGTGATTTAAAAATTCCAAATCTCTTGATGGATGAACATTGGATGTCTTGCAGCAACAGTTATAATTTAAAACCGTACAAGTTTCTTGATTAATATATTATATTTTAAACAATCAAATAGAAGTGTGAATTATACTTTAATTATTTATAGCCTTTTTTATCTTTGCATTAAGAGGCTCATCTGCTATTCTATTTGAATTTTAATATATTTTTATGTATGATAATTTTTTTGTACAGCCCTCACCACCTGCTGTGACCACTGATTCTGTAATCATTTGAAAAATATATTTTATTTCCCCTTTCTTAACATAAACGTGCACTGTTAAAGACATATGACTACTATAACTCATTTATTATCTAAATTAAAATGTCTGAAATGAATTGACAGGGGAAAAGTTCTGTATTCCCATCACGATTCCTATGTTGCCCAAAGGCAGGAAATCAAATATATATATTATTAAAAAGTATTATTTTGAGTATTTTTTCCTCCCAGAACTCAATTTTGGCTTTTATATGACCTAGGCCTTTGTTACTATGGTAACCATGCATGACCTCACTCTGAATTGACATCATTTCTAGCTTTACTGACAAAAGTGAGGGACAAAGAAGGCTTCCATGTGTTCTTGAACCACCTGCTTTGCAAATACATTTACGAAAAATAATAAAACCTATTTGGATTAGGATAAAGACTCATGATATTTACATTTACCTTTTGCTAATGCATCTGATTATTACGCAACATGAGAGACTGCAGATTAAATCCAACAATGTGGTTAAAGTATGACATATTACAGTGAAAAATAATCTTTAAGCATACGAACGATTTAAATATAAATAAAAACCAGCCCTGCTTTTAAAAAACGAACAAAAAAAAATCTTCCGAGCTTGCAAATCGGATTGCTTGGTTCTGATCTCTCAAAAGAGTTGAGCCCTTTTTACGCTGTTTTTCTTAGCCGAAAGCACTTTGAAGGTTATGTCTGAATCGAAATCTTTATTTATTGTCTGTTTTTTCGTGCTATCATCATTCCTATTGCACACAGCATTTGTTAAGCTATATTTCCTAATTCCAATTCCAGGTTCATCTCACCCTCTGGTATAGTATTATAGTATTTATCAGCTTGTGTTTACATCTGCAGGTACTGATAAGGTAGAAAATTCCACCTGACTAATATTATAAAGCTGGATTTTTTTTTTTTTTTTTACTGAGCTAGTTTCAAATGATTATCCCCTCCGGTCATTCAGTACTTATACGCCATAAGATAGTGTTAATTTTCTCATACTTTGAAGCAGTGAAATTGCTTGTTGGCAGTGTACTTTGTCAGTCAAACAGAAATACACATACAAAAAGACAGCACACGGTGAAATTACATTCCTTCTCAAAGGGACCTGCGCTATCTATTTTAAATTAGGCAATTATGTTGTCTCAATAAGGGAATGATCAAAACATATGTTGTAACAATAGGAGATCTGAAATCAAATATATTACCGTGTAATACATGGGTATCACGGTATATTGTCTATGGCAATGCATGCGTTCTCCTGACAAAGACAATAAAAATATATATTTTGATAAAATAAGGTTTTACAAAGCATTTCAACCCTTCCATGGGTTTTCATTGTTTGTTTGTTTTGGAGATATTAAGAGGTTACCATGGGATGTGGTCCAGGCAAAGCTAAGTTGCACAGCTACAAAAACACATTATCGGATAATATAAATTCTACCACATAAGGACTGAATTAGACGACATAGCTACATGTCCGAAGCCTATCAAGATTCAGAGGAGCTTGGCTACCTACCAGCAAAGAAATAAATATGAAAAGTTTTCAGTTGCAGACTTTGTGCAAAAAAAATGATCTGTGTAGTGTGGCAGTAAACAAGCTAGATTTTATTAAGACACGGAGGCTCCTATTATGCTGCACTCTTTCTTTATTTACCTCAGCAGCAAAGAAAAATAACATTAAATCAGTATAAAAGAAACCAGTAAATAACATGAGGTATATCTTCCTAGCAACAGCAACAGCCAATCAGCATCCTCTTTATAGCATAATAGGCAATGTCCAGTATACTACTTCCTCTTTCTTTGCTGCTACCTCAGTTAAGTGACACTGGGTCCCATGGTTCTTAACTGTGGGATCTTTTACTTTACTTTATTCATATCATTACTGTGATTAATATAGTTATTACATTTTAATTATAATATTTTCATGTGTATACATATATTTAGTTACTTCATTTTAACGTAATTTGATTTATTTACTTCATTTGCGTCTGTTATATGCTTTATTATATATCCTTTGATAATGTATTTCCCCTCTGACCTCCCTGGCCCTAAGATTACCATCAATTGGGGCTCAGGGACGTCTTTGAGGATCTTTATCCCCTGAATAGTGCCATTGTGCTGTTTTTTCCCTTAATTTATCTGTCTGGCTGCTGCTCTGCCACCAACTTCCAGAAATCCAAGTTGGGGTTTAGTTGTAGTGGCAGCCGGGCAGCTTCTTTGTTTTTTATATTACAATTGCTATTAATTTATTTTTTTCACTATTGTGAGTACTTTCATTTCTTTATCCTGTTTAGTTATTTATTTTTACTTGAGGGTTACTCAACCCTTTACTTTTGGTATTATTTTGCTTTATTCAGCCCCTTAGGTTTGTTTGTATATTTATGATGCAGTCTGACAGGATCTTTCTGTGCCTTCTGGGTCTACAGCAAACATGCAGATTAATGTAGAAGCCTCTCCAGGTATCTCTGGAGATGAGGCTGAATTTCTGCTTTACTGATCCTGCTGACATGCAGGCTTTAATTGACACTTCCATGGCAAATGCAATGACAAGGCCCTGGTGTCAGGCCGCAAGGCCTCATATAAGGCTAAACACTCCTCCAAAACAATAGAGATTGACAGTACCATACCTGTCATGGATGGCGCGATTAATTTACCACCGCGCAAAAGAGCTACTAGTCGGGCAAAATCGACTAGACTTTGGAAAAGGGCAAAAGCCCAATTAAACTCTGAATCCAAGTTCAGTGATATTGAGGAGAAGTTCACCGAGTTCTATATGGAGGTGTACCTGTACTCACACCTGCGCTGCTTCAGCCTGGCCGCAAGGCCTCATATAAGGCTAAACACTCCTCCAAAACAATAGAGATGGACAGTACCAAACCTGTCACGGATGGCGTGATTAATTTACCACCACGCAAAAGAGCTACTAGTCGGGCAAAATCGACTAGACTTTGAAAAAGGGCAAAAGCCCAATTGAACTCTAAATCTGAGCTCAGGGATATTGAGGAGGAGTTCCCTGAGTACTATATGATATTGAGGAGGAGTTCCCTGAGTACTATATGGAGGTGTATCTGTACTCACACCTGCTCTGCTTCAGCCTGGCCGCAAGGCCTCATATAAGGCTAAACACTCCTCCAAAACAATAGAGATGGACAGTTCCATACCTGTCACGGATGGCGCGATTAATTTACCACCGCGCAAAAGAGCTACTAGTCAGGCAAAATCGACTAGACTGGAAAAGGGCAAAAGCCCAACTGAACTCTGAATCTGAGCTCAGTGATATTGAGGAGGAGTTCCCTGGGTCCTATATGAAGGATTCAGAGGATATTTCTGATCCTGATTATGAAATTACTGATGAAGAGGATGCTAATCCCGTTTGGGATACACGTCCTGTTAAACCTACCAAGATTTAGGTAGATTATGCAGACTCAGGGACACCGATAGGATCTTGGACACTCAATGTGAACCCCTATTCGAACCTGACGACCTATGTCACCCAGTGGTCTCCTCAGACCATGTAGCCAAGTATATTGGCATCCAGAGTACGCAAGCCTTTTGAGAAGGCAAAGTGAAATAAATTGCGGGCTGAATGGCCACGCCGAACAGTCCCTGATGACTCATGTTAAACGCTATCAGTCAATCCTAAAAGCATTCAATTCCTGAGTAAGACAGGATGGAAGCCATCTAAAGGCTTAGATTTTCATTGCAAAACTGTCAGGATAAAATCCTGGGCATCTTGGGCTCAGCAACCAAGATCTTTGAAGCAGTGGAGGATGATCTAGAATTAGATTGCGCCATCTTAAGTGGTTAGATCCAGAGAGTGATTTAAGTTGGCAACGCCAACAATGCGGTTGTCACAGAACGCCACAAATCGATCTTGCTCAAGATTGAGCCCAAACGAGCCAGATAACACAGGCAAAAGGTTTTCTCTTTGGGGACAACTTTGTAAAAGAATTGGGCTCCTTTGTCCTGCTAAACAAACAGAAGTTCTTTTAGACAGAACCAAGGCTCTAATACTTGCCGAGCCGATTTCTTTGAACAATGTACTATACCAACCTCCTTCTCACAAAGTGGCCGACCCTGGATTGTTAGTGGCCTAAGAGGTGCTCCTAAGACGTCTTCACAATTTCCATTCTTTCTTACTGATAGTGGGGGCAGGCTCACACATTTTTCCCATGTATGATCCCTCATTTCATCAGATGCTTAGGTTCTTCACACTGTGAAAGGGTATTGCATAGACTTCCTTTCTCTACTTGTTCAATGTTCCCCATCAAGGGAAATTGTTTTTTCCCAATGAGACACAGACCTTGTCTCTGTGGACAATCAATTGTAGAGATTCTGGCGCATACCCTGGGTTACGTGAGCAACCTTTTCTTGTTTCCCAAAAAAGGCAAAGGTATCCGTCCAGTAATAAATATGAGACTGCTCAATAGTTATGAGCATATCAGCACTTCCAAGATGGAAGGAGAGCATTGTTTAAGGGATCTTCTCCAACCAGCAGATTGGATGGCCAAATTGGATCTGCAGGATGCATATCTCACAGTGCCTATCCCAGTACAACATCAAGATCGAGAACTTCCTGCAATTTACATGGTAGGGCAGTAAATAGAGGTTCAGGTGCCTCCCATTCGGACTGTCTTCGGCTCCATGGTGCTTCACCAAGCTCACATCTTATAATATATTTAGATGGCATTTTCATTCTGGCTCAGTCTATTCAATTAATCCGGACATACCTTGCATGGACTTTGACTCTGTTAGAGAACCTAGGCTTCCTGACCAATTGGGAGAAATCCATTATCGTTCCCACGCAACAAATACAATTTCTGGGTTATATTGGATTATTGTAGATTCTACCCTTCAAACTCTACACCCTCCGGTGGCAAAATTAGCCAATACAAAGAAGGAGATAGGCGAACACTAGCAACCTCTCAACTCTCTCTCAAACAACTGTTGAGAATGTTAGGCCTTCTAGCGGCATCTATACACGCCATTTCTACAGGTTTTCTTGGCTATCGAGCCCTACAAGGATTACAAACTTCATCTCAAGGGCAGCACATCATACACAGATATGGTAACTCTGGACTCAGAAGCAGAGAATGAACGCCAATGGTGGCTTCTTCACATGGAAGCTTGGAATAAGCACACCATATTTTGTACATCTCCAGATTTGCTAATCAAATCCGACGCAAGTTTGCACGGTTGGGGTGCTCAATGCAGAGCTATTTCCAGATAATCAAACCTGGAATCAACACTCCACATCAATTGTTTGGAACACCCGGTTCCTTTGCAGTCCATAGTTTCTCCCCAACTCAAGCCCAATGCGCTATCCTTCTGAAGATGGACAACGTGTCAGCAGTCCGCTACATCAATCACTTGGAGGCACAAAATACAAAATTCTGACCTACATGCCTCGTGATTGCTGGCAATTTTGCCTGAGACACGGCATTTCAGTCACGGCAGAATATATTCAAGGTCTTTCCAACACTACGACGGACTGGTATTCACGCCAACTCGGAGATTCCAGCGACTGGCAATTGGATTCCATGGTCTTCTAAGACATCTGAAACCTATGCGGTCTATTGGAAATAGATCTTTTCGCTTCTCGTTTGAATGCTCAACTTCCCCGTTTTTTCAGTTGGAGACCAGATCCGATAGCATTGGCTATGAATGTTTTCTCCAAGGAATTATGATTTTTTGCCTTTTCCATCTACATCGCCAGTCCGGCACCTGTTGATCGTGGCTCCTCTATCGCCATCCCAACCATAGTTCTCTTTTCTTCAGGAGATGGTTATCGACCTTCCATCTCTCGAGTGCCTTCTTCAGGATCCAGATGGTGTACCTCATCCTCTTGTTCTCCAAGGTCTCTTGCATCTCATAGTGTAGTCTATTTCAGGGAACCTTGGTCGGTCAAGGGAGTTTCGCAATCAACTCCCCAACTTATCAAGGGTGCACCCAACACGAGACAGGCTTATAAATCTGCTTGGAGCAGATGGCATAGTTGGTGCATGAAAATAAATTTAAATCCCATATCGGCTCCTTTTATGTCTGTCCTCCATTTTTCTGACTTCTATGATGAAGGTAAAGCCTATCGCACTGTGGACCTTAACGATCGTCCATTTCTGCTGGCCATCAAAGTTTTGATTGGACGCCTGTCGGTTGACATCCTGTCATATATTGACTTCTCTGAGGAATATGGTTTGCTCATTCACCCTTACCACGATACTCTGTCTTGTGGGACGTCTCTATTGTCTTGAATTTTTTATTTATGTTTCTTGCAAGAGGTTTTTTTGACGTACGAGCTCATGAGGTGGTTGCTCGTTCCTTTACTCCAGAAGGTGTCCTCTTTGACATTTCACGGAGGACAAAAACCTCCTCTAAAATCTATCTTACCCAGTTTTCCCTGATAGATCTCTCCTTTGCCCTGTTGCATATTAATGGGTGTGTGAACATCGTTCTACTACGCTACAGAATCCTTTGAAACAGGAACTCTTCCAAAAGTCGCATCTTCCGGTGTCTACTCTAGCCTGGTGGATCAAATACGTTATGTCTCTAGCAGGTATTGATACCTATGTGTCAGTGCCTCATTCGGTTCGTAGGGCAATGGCTTCTAAGGCTTCCTCGATTGGTTGTCGCTTGGAGGATATTATGAGAGCGGCTGGTCTTCAGAGTCTACATTCCATGATTTCTACTTTAGACCTATTCAACACTTCACAGGAGACATAATTTCACAGCTTTGAACTAGCATAATAGGAGCCTCCGTGTCTTAATAAAATTTACAGATTTTACTATTAACATGACGTAAAGTCATGATTTTATTAATGACACGGAGGCGAGTATTATCCCTCCCTCCCATCCCTGGAGATTTGGTCTTCTCTGGGTAAGTTGACTTCACGGTAAGTCTTTTTTGATTACTGGGTTTTATCCTTGTTAATGACTGTCAAGAGCTTAAGGTTTGACTAAACTGAATTTCATGTTATGTGTATATATATAAATCTGATATTTCATGTAATGCGAATTTATGCATAAATCCAGTTTTATACTTGGATATTACCATATTCTCTTTTCTATTCCAGCTTGACTTCTAGATCCAGTTTAAGGCTCGTATACCCTCTAATTGGAGCCCACTTTTTATTTGGATTTGTTGTCCTTGTTCGGGATCGCAAGAAAGAGGAAGTAGTATACTGGACATTGCCTATTATGCTATAAAGAGGATGCTGATTGGCTGTTGCTGTTGCTAGGAAGATATACCTCATGTTATTTACTGGTTTCTTTTATACTGATTTAATGTTATTTTTCTTTGCTGCTGAGGTAAATAAAGAAAGAGTGCAGCATAATACTCGCCTCCGTGTCATTAATAAAATCATGACTTTACGTCATGTTAATAGTAAAATCTGTAAATTATGTTTTGTTTTCCAATTGTTTTTGTTTTGCTCTGCGAAATATGCAAATAGCAGAAAGACAAGTAATGATAATAGAGGATCTTTGAAAATTCGACAAAAGTCATGAACAAACCATATTTAATTTGGCAATGTTTTGCCGATGGACTGTTCTTCTGTCTGAAGAAAAACTCTTTTAAATTTATGACTCGTGGGCCAGGTAATCAGCATTGCTTGGATAAAACATACATTTCTGTGGTATATTGCTATCAGAGTCAGATTGTGTAGATGCACCCAAATCATTTTGGATAATTAGAAAGCATCTATAAAAGAACACGTTCTCCAAAATCCAGAAACCAAAAGATGTCTCAGAGCAAGGTCGTGAGTAAACATGTTATAAAAAAGA